TTTAGGTCCTCTAATAATGACTCTGTCCTTTGTTTTAGACCTTGTGAATACAATCTTCTTGTTAGATTTATTTTCTCCAGACTTGAACAGTGAAATTCTAGAGAGCCATGCACATGAAACCTCAGAAGGAAGCTATTTTTGCAAGCTGGCCCTGATCTCCCTTGAGAGGCCACCTCCTGCTGGAACCCTGTCTTGACTGTCATTCCTTCCTCCATCAAGCTCAGTTTGAGCAGGTCATCGTCCTATACCTCCTAACAGAAGTTAGGGTCCATTCTCCTGGGGGAGGGAATGTGAGCAGTCAGATGGGTAAATAGGCATTCAGGTTGGTCCCAGTGAAAATTGAGGGTGCAAAATGCTTGCTTCCCCCAAAAGTTATCTTAAGCAAGGTCAAAAGTGCCTGCCCCACTTCTTGGGAGCTCCCAATTTTATCATGAGAATAGCAAGGGGGTGCTGATTCCATCCTTCTGAGCTCACAGTTTATAATAAAAACAAGTTGCCTATCCCATCCCTCAGCAAATAAGATTATAGATCAGGTCTTTTCACGGGTTTTGTCCTTGCTTGTATCTGAATGTCAAGCTGATTGTCAAGTTTTTTTCTTCCCCAAAATTGTGCTTAAGAACCCCACTACCAGCAACTCCTTTGGGTTTTGCCTCTCTTGGAGCCCACCTCCTGGCCACTCTGCCAGGAGACCTCTCTCTAGAAAAAAAAAAAAAAATCTCTCATCTCTCTCTCTCTCTCCACCTAGAAACTGAAACAGGACTGCTCCCTCCTTGGTGCTTTGAGACAGTTCATGTCAAGGAAGGAAATGCTATGCTGGACTTCCTTAAGCAATAAATCGAGAACCCACCATGCAACTGTATTATTGTCTTAAGACAATAAACACACTTTAATACCTGAGATTATGAGGTCAAGTTTAAACACAGTTTATTATTATTATCTGTACTACTTATTCTCTATCTTATAAAGAATTCAAGACTGAATTGTGTAAGGTTCCTCCTTTTTTTCTACTTGTTGCTTTCAGATCTACTGTCTCAGGTCCAACCATGCCAACATTTCTTTAGGCCTTGTCCTGATCCGTAAATGCTGCTCAGAGAGGCTCCTTATTGGTCTGCTTTGGCTTGGCTGATTTCTCTATGAGGGAATCTTCCAATCCTATCTAGAAAGTATATAGACCCCACTTCTCAGTAAAAGCAATGGGAAAGAATTTGCAGCCATGCGTTAAGACTACCACAGTTCACCCTCTGGCTACAGTTTTAAAAAATTCCCTCCAAATGCAAGTACACTTGCTCTCTGAATATCACATTTTCCTCATGGTCCTTCAAAGTTCACTGAACATCTGAACACAGACTTCTCCCAGCATTGTTAATCCAGCATCCCAATTCCAGGAACCAAATTTTGTACTGCTTACCTATCATTGCACCTCCAAACTCATTGACTTATGACAGTGATTTTCCTTTGTTCATGATTTGGGGAGTCAAGAATTTGGGAAAAGGCTCAGCTCTTTCTTGTGGCATCTTACACAGTCAGTTATTGACTGGACCTTCAGTCATCTGAAATCTCAGCTGGGTTGACTGAGGACACTAGTATTCCCTGAGAGCCCAGCTCAACCTGTTGATCCCGACCTGTGCATGCGCAATCTCATTTGCCTTGGACTTCTCATGGCACAGTGTTCTGGATTTGCTTGCATTAACTTCCCTATATTCTAAGTTAATAGCAATAATTATCCCTGGAAAGATTAAAAAACAAATCCAAATAAGCTTTGGACTCCAACTTCAAGTGCTTTCCTCCATAAGTATAACAATGAACTAATTTGCTAAACTGAAAATCTATTTAAAAAGAAAATGAAATAAAAATTCATTGAATATTAAAATTGTGCTATTGTTGTACACATAATGTTGGCACAGAGCTATCAAAGAATAAACTGTGTAATAAATATTCTTTTTTAGCTATTAAAATAATTAAATAGCAACCATCATTGATGTGGGACAAAAGAGGGCCAATATCATAAATGTTAATTTGAGGGGCCAGCACTGTGGCATAGCGGGTAAAAATGCTGCCTGTGGTGCCGGCATCCCATATGGGTACCCGTTCAAGTCTGGCTGCTCTACTTCCAATCCTGCTCCCTGTTATGGCCTGGGAAAGCAGGAGAAGATGGCTCAAGTCCTTGGGCCCTTGCACCTGCATGGGTGGCCAGGAAGAAGTTCCTGGCTCCTAGCTTTAGATCTGCACAGCTCTGGCCATTGCGGCCATTTGGGGAGAGATGGAAATCCTCTCTCTCTCTTTCTCACTCTCTCTCTCTCTCTCTCTGCCTCTGCCTCTCTGAAACTCTGCCTTTCAAACAAATAAATATATAAATAAATCTTTAAAAAAGTCAAGATCAAAACAAAGGATGATCTAAACAAGAGCTGTATTTTAAATATTTAGACAGTTGCTTGTTAGCTGGTTTCTAGTTGAATTGCTTCTCTCTCTAGTTACCAACACTGCAGTCATGCAGTCACCTATACAATATGTAATTGAATTTTAACTGTTAAATGCACTACCCACCAATAATGAAATAGACCTTTATGAAAACTGTCCAATTGTGTACATGTTTGTTTTCGTATCCCTTTTAACATTGAATATTGCTATTAAGTGAGATGGATCAGTGGATATTTTATGATGAGTTTAAAAATTTTATGTTAAATTCAGCCATCCTTAGAATTACTTTTGGTATCCCAGAATGTTACAAACTATGAATAAAACAATTATACATAAAACAAAGAGCATAGTTTTTCATTTTCCTGTCTTTTTATGAGTTAAGACATTGACAAACTGAATGTGGAGATATAAAACAGGAAGGCAAATTTCTCATCTTGCTCCAGGCAGATCATGGCGTACAACCCTATCAGGTCTACAGGACAGTGGCTGTGGCTCTTCTCCCTCTGGCTAAGGACAAAAGTTGTTTCTCTCTGAGTTACATCAAAATGGCTTTGAGATATGGAGGAGAGACTTCTTTCATTATGCAATAAGGTCTCCTAATGCAAAGATTCTGGTCATAGGATGAGAGTTTAGTGAAGTTTCCATGTGCATTCAAACTTTAACAACCAAGTTTATGGTTTTCCATAAAAACAACATACCAAATTATATTTCAAAGGAATATATTAAAATTTATTAAAATTTTAAATTTTAATTAAATTAAAATAAATTAGAATTTTTAATAAATTTAAAATTTATTAAAATTCAGAACAACTAGGATACTAATACAAAGGTAGCAAATAAATCACTGCCCAGTACTATTATGTAACATTATCAGTGTTGCTGGGAATTATTTCATTTCTCCTCACAAGAGCCCTGAAAACTAGGTAATGCTGCCATACTTCTGAACTGTGAAAACTGAAGCTAAATAACCAGTCCAAGCCCACAAAACAATATAAGAAAACTGCAGATTTTTCCAAATCTTCTCTCTCTCTTCTGCAATAAATTTTAATTTTATGACAAAAATAAACACAAAATATTACACAGGCAAGAAATACATATCAAAAAATTTAGAGAAGCTAAAATATTTTTGTATGAGAAAATTCATTTTATTATAATATTCACTCTACAGATTATATATTATGCCACAACTACATTAATGTTTGAAGTCAAGATACTTTAATAAATAACAAAAGAATTTTCTGAAAGCCTCAGAAGAATGTATTATTTAGTTCATGGTTTATGCTTTTTTTTTTTTAATTTTTTGACAGGCAGAGTGGGCAGTGAGAGAGAGAGAGACAGAGAGGAAGGTCTTCCTTTGCCGTTGGTTCACCCTCCAATGGCCTCCGCGGCCGGCGCGCTGCGGCCGGCGCACCGTGCTGATCCGATGGCAGGAGCCAGGTGCTTCTCCTGGTCTCCCATGGGGTGCAGGGCCCAAGTACTTGGGCCATCCTCCACTGCACTCCCGGGCCACAGCAGAGAGCTGGCCTGGAAGAGGGGCAACCGGGACAGAATCTGGCACCCCGACCTGGACTAGAACCCGGTGTGCAGGCGCCGCAAGGCGAAGGATTAGTTTATGCTTTTTTATTCTCTTCCTTTCTACTTTCATGTCTTAATTTTTAAAATTCTCCAATTTTGTGTAGTTTTTTGTGTAGTAATATTGATATTTATCTTTTGGAAATAACTTGCAATAGCTGTTTTCCAAGTATTTCTCTTATAGGAAGCTAAAACTGAAGAACAGGGAAAATACTTTTTCATTGTTCCCTAGCGAGGGTATGGCTTTATTTCTGCTAATGCATTCTTTAAACATTAACTTCATGCCATTAACTATTGTGCTAGAAACTAATATTTGACTGTAAGTCCTCACCCTAACAGTAACATATTAAAGTTCTCTAAGTCAACATCTAAAACAGGAATAAGTCCCTGAAGAAAAATGTATGATATATTCACATGCAATTATGAAATCATTTTACAGAAAATGGTCACACTGGTTCCTCTGTTTCTTAAAAATGCAAATTAAAAAATTTCATATTTGTCCTCTTTGTTTTCATTTTCATGGAAATATCTTTAACCTAACATGCGATATTTCTGGTGGGAAAGAGATTAGGACTTCATGTATATTAATGAATTATATAGTGAAATTCTTAATAATTGATCCTCCTTTTTAATTTTATTTTAAAAATGAAGTTTATATATTACCTTAAATGATCTAGGACTTAGTTCTTATTAGTAAGTAGTAACATGAATATTATTAGTTTCCTAATGGAATTTTAAAAGTAAAAATAGTTAAAATGAAACCATAAGCTCTTTCCTTCCTTCTTTACAATTTTTACTAAGTAATTTGAGCTTGCATTTGACTAAAGTTCTTTGGGTTTATTGCTTATCCTGTCTGCTACTCAATGAGTCCTAACGAAGCATATTCCCTCCAGGAAAGACAGAAATCAATAAGTAGGCATTTGAAAGAAAACACTTAATGTTTAAAATATGACATTGACTTACTATTCCATTGGCAAATTTAAGTATCTTCTATACCTGTATTTACTTACCCACAAGTCCTAAAAGAATGTAGCCAAAAATAAACAGTAGGAAGACCAGGCAGCACAGAACATCTGTACAATTCCTAAGGGCAAAAAGAAATAAAGAATTAAAAGGGACCCAAAATGACTTCTTGCTTACTGCACAAAATCTAGGAAGGGAGAAGAACATCATAATGATAAGCCACTCATAGCCAATACTTCAGAAAGGTGGAGCAGATGTGTATCTGCAAAAACCAGCACAATGAAAGTGTCAGTTGTTACACCATGATTAAGAAAGGTCTCTCAGAATTCTTAGGTTTATTCACTATTGGGTTTTTTATTTGAAAAATACTTTAAGTGATTAAAGTATGCCAACATCAAAATAATTGTTTTTTATTTGAAAAGGTTTTAAACTATTTGGTTTTGTGATTTTCCACTTCGCAATACATGGTATAGAATAAATAGCCATTTAACATTCCTCTTTCTTCTTCATTCCTTTTCTACATGTACATTTTAATGGTACAGAACTATCAAATGAGGATTGACTGCCTATATTCACTTTCTATGGAGAGTAGAGTTACAACTATTCTTTTTTTTTTTTTTTTTTTTTTTTTGACAGGCAGAGTTGGACAGTGAGAGAGAGAGACAGAGAGGAAGGTCTTCCTTTTTGCCGTTGGTTCACCCTCCAATGGCCGCCGCGGCCGGCGCGCTGCGGCCAGCGCACCGCGCTGATCCGATGGCAGGAGCCAGGAGCCAGGAGCCAGGTGCTTTTCCTGGTCTCCCATGGGGTGCAGGGCCCAAGCACCTGGGCCATCCTCCACTGCACTCCCGGGCCACAGCAGAGGGCTGGCCTGGAAGAGGGGCAATCGGGACAGAATCCGGCGCCCCGACCGGGACGAGAACCCGGTGTGCCAGCGCCACAAGGCGGAGGATTAGCCTAGTGAGCCACGGCGCCGGCCACAACTATTCTTTTTTTAACCTTTATTTAATAAATATAAATTTCCAAAGTATAGCTTTTGGATTACAGTGGCTTTTTCCCCCCATAACCTCCCTCCTGCCCGCAACCATCCCATCTCCCGCTCCTGCTCCCATCCCATTCACATCAAGGTTCATTTTCAATTATCTTTATATACAGAAGATCAATTTAGTATATACTAAGTAAAGATTTCAACAGTTTGCACCCACACAGAAACAAAAAGTGTAAAATACTGTTTGAGTACTAGTTATACCGTTAATTCACATAGTACAACACATTAAGGACAGAGATCCTACATGAAGAGTAAGTGTACAGTGACTCCTGTTGTTGATTTAACAATGAACAATCTTGTTTATGGTGTCAGTAATCTCCCTAGGCTCTTGTCATGAGTTGTCAAGGCTATGGAAGCCTTTTGAGTTCACCAACTCCGATCTTATTTAGACAAGGTCATAGTCAAAGTGGAAGTTCTCTCCTCCCTTCAGAGAAAGGTACCTCCTTTGATGGCCTGTTCTTTCCACTGGGATCTCACTCACAGAGATCCTGCTTCCCATGTTGTATTGTTCTCTCTTTTTTAATTCTATCAGATAGTATTAGCAGACACTAGTCTTGTTTATGTGATTTCTTTGACTCCTAATCCTATCATTATGATCAATTATGAACTGAAACTGATTACTTTGACTAGTGAGATAGCATTGGTACATGCCACCTTGAGAGTTACAACTATTCTAACAATGTATACAGAGCATTAATGAAGTAAAAGGCCTGGAAATGGGAATCTTCCCTCAGCTCTTCTGTAAGCTAGATGTCAAATTCAGTTTCGAGCAAATTTGGCTGAGAGAGCCTCAGTGACTGGATAAAGGTCGTAAGCCAAACCAGGATCTATCAGAGATATTCAAGGTTTTCCACTGAAATATTTCTTTTCCCAATATTTTATCTTGTTTAGCATACAAGTGATTTGAAAGGTCAAAGTTATGTTTTGAAAGTGAGCAACAACATTGTCATTATTTATTTGAAATGATGAAAAAACTTCTAGTGAAAAAAAAAATCAGGGGCCTGCACTGCAGTGTAGTAAGTTAAGCATCTGCCTTTGGCGTTGTCTTCCCCTATGGGCACTGGTTTGAATCCTGGCTGCTCCACTTCCGATCATCTCTCTGCCTGAGAAGGCAGTAGAAGATGGCCCAAGTGCTTGGGAACCGGCACCCATGTGGGAGACTGGGAGGAAGCTCCTGGCTCTTGGCTTCAGAAAGTCCCAGCCTTGGTTGTTCCAATCATCTAGGGAGTGAACCAGCAGATGGAAGACCTCTCTCTCTGTCTCTCCCTTTCTCTCTCTGTAGCTCTGCCTCTCAAGTAAATAAATAAATTAATTAAAAAATCAACCATTTTGACAAGATGACAAGATTAAAAAGTTGCACATTAGAATTTTCATAGCCAAATGTTCTTGATCTTGAGGGCATACATAATCTTTTAGCATAGGCATATTGAAGTTCCACTTTTTTCTAGGGTGGTAGTAGCACTGCAGTAGTAATGAGTAATAATTATGCCATAACAGAAATTATAATACCTTGTACTGGTAAAGCTTTGTTATATTTTTATTACTTTCATGCATATCAATAATTCTGTGAGTATCCCAAGAATATCTTTAGGCTTTAGGGATAGTTAGGTGAGCTGACTTTTGAAGCAGCTTGAGAGAGATACTGACAGTGGCAGGCAAACATCTAACTCTAAATGTCTTCCCTTTTTCATTTAATAGTTACATTAGCATGATTACAATTTTTGTAAGTGTTCAAAATAGTGATATGTAAAAATAACCACATAACATTACCATAACCCTTCATCCACAATAGAAAATGGATATTTCAAAGAGAAAGTTAATCAAGGCCAATCTAGAAACAAATAATTTTTTGTTTAAATCCAATTTCAACCCAGGAACTTTAGATTTTACTTTGATTTAAGAATATGAGAATAATAATAAAAAGAGAAGGAAAAATGCAGTCTGGTTTCTTCAGTGAACAACCATTGAAAGCTAACACCTGCTTGGATGTGAGGCAAGCACTTGTGTCAAGTGTACTCTGACCCATCAGTTTCTCATCTTGTAGGAGTGGTTGTTCAATAGCCTCACGCCTAATAGCAAATGCCTGCAGGTGAGAAACTAAAGGAGCGCAAACTAGAACACGGGCGGCTTTAATTAGCAATCTTGCAATTGTCAAAGTCCTTGTGTATGATCATAACTACCAAGAGAGGAGAGAGAGAGGGAGGGAGATGCGATCAGAATGCACAGCCACTTCGTCATCATCCTGGCATAGATTTCTGTGATGTTATATATTTCCAGCTATGTATTTATATTATGTGTAATACATGCTATATAATTCATACTTATAATGGCCAATGTTATATATTTATAATGTCATATAGTCAGCAGGCATACTGGAAAGGTGAATGAAAGCAATTTAACAATCAGAAGGACAGGACATAAAGAAAGAAGCAGAATCCAAATGGAAATTTCATAAAAAGTAAAATCCACATCCCTTAACTACTGGCACTGATGAATGGGAATCAGTTTGAATTTTGGTTCCATACAGGGTTTTACACCATGATTTCTCTATCTTTTTTTGGTGCCAAGGACACACTAAAGCACCAGGGACTACTCCATGCTCACACAGCCATTCCAGTAGCGGTTTTTCTCCACTGTGAGGTAGCACTTCTCAATAATTCACACCTGTAGGTGTTCGGGGATTCTATTCTGTGGCCAGGGAGGACAATATATTCAAGTCTGCTTTGTTTTTCTGATACATTGTTTAGGAGTAATAGAAGATCATATTCCTTGGCCAAACCAGTTCATTTTATTTTATTTAAACACAGAAAGATGTTGAACAAACCAAAAATTATGAATGAGGAATTCAAGAATCTCAAATAGTAGGAACATTAGTATTTATAAATTTATTCCTATATTAGTTAGATTCCCTTTATTGTTTTAGGAATTTTCTTTTCAAAACAGGTGTGTATGTGTGTGTGTGTGTGTGTGTACTTTTCAGGTAGTTATAATTATCTTCTGTTTACTCATTTAACTGTTTCTTTTCCTTTCCATAGAACAGGGGTGGGGAACGTCTAGCCTGTTGGTCTGTGAAATCGTTTGCGACCCTGCTAAGGGAACAGCAGGTGGGATTCAAAATTCCATAAACTTATAGCAGGGTAATTTTTGAGCTGATAACTTTGTATGGCCCACGAATGTTATAAATATTCAAGTAGCCTTTGGCAGAAAAAAGCTTCCCCACCCCTGTCTTAGACATAGTCCCTCTCTCCACAAAAACAAAACAAAAACAATTACTGGAAACTTGAATTTCAGCAAAACACAAAACATGGCCTACGCACCATTTTCTAAGTCAAGAAACATAGCGTTAGCTCAATTTAAATTTTCAGAAGTTATAGCATCTTATCATTGCTCCTTACTCTTGAATGCAGGGCATTTTTCATAATCCCAGATATTCTGTAGGAAATGAGTTATTTTTAAAGACCAAGGATTTAATTTGCATAATTTATAAAGCTCTCAAGACAACTATCAAAATAGGTAATACAAGCTGTGACTGAAAAATCATTCTGAATCATTACAACTACAGGACTGTCTGAGCTATGCCTTTTCCTCAAGCAAATTCAATTTTATTTTCATCACAAGCACTGAGAACAACTGTCCTAATCTAAAAATGGGTTGTATACCACCAGGTCCCAGAAAGAATACAAAAAGAATAGTTATAGAGAAATATGCCAAATTCTCTCCCTCATCCTGTCTGCAAATCAAAACAAGCTGCTCCCACCGATATTTATCAGAAGGCTACCCAAAACTATTCACACTGAACTGCCCTAGCATAAAAGTACTTTCAAAAGTGAGACTACAAAAGTACTATTGCTAGCTTACATCTGTTTTCCAAATACAGTAAGGAGAGGATTCCAACTACAAATGCTCTGGCAGGTTCCCCTTTCCTACCTCTAACTCACAAAAACAGTGTGCCTACAATCACCCAGACTTAAAATGTTGGAGTTCCCTTTGACTTTCCCTTTTTCTTAGCTTACCTTTTATATTCAATTGACAAGTTCTCTTTCCTGGACTCCTTCTCTGTGATATGTCTTTCATCT